ATGAAAACATTCAAATCCACTTGACTTCAAGTTATTCTAAATTTATAAATGCTAACATTAAACCCTCATTCACCCGAAAAAAGGTTAAAAGTCGGTTACATTAAGGCGGAATGATGTAAGCTTTAACCTTAATGTACTTTTAAAAGTCGGTTGTGTAAATAAAATGGACATCATAACATGATTCGTAAGGATTTTTACTATGAATATAACTTTGCCATACAATGAAATGTATTAGAGATATCAGTTTTCTGTTCTTAAAATAGGTTAATTATTTAAAACTGTTTTATAACAAATTATCTATGCTGATGAGAAAGTTTAGACAAATTAAAATTAAAATAATAATTAAATTATCTTTTATGTTAGAGGTGGTTTTCAAGAGGTGTTAATTGAGGGCTCAGATTCGCCCTTAGTATAGGAAACAAGTTTTCATTGCTTTTATTGTCTTTAAAATGACAGATATCAAGATGACAAGTTTGTCAAGACGTTTCAGCAGTGGAAACACACGTCAAAAGAATGTGATTTACCCAAAAATGTTTATTTATTTTATTTTAAGCTTTGCACACAGTTTAAAGTACATAGAGTAACATTACATAGAAATACAGTGATGTACAGGTGAGCTTAACTCTAAAAGAGTTCTCTTACAGCTAACCTTGCGATACAGAGAAGATGTATAGTGGGTAATAACTATATGTTTCTTTATTATCTCCCATATTTCTAGATACTGGTACTAATTCTTATTGGGAAACGATACAATAAATTATGTTAGAAAGAGAAAACTACTATATAGAATTGAAATAAAACTAATTTATGCAACACAAACAAAAAGGTCTATAAATTACATTATACGTTAATCAGAAGAGAAAATTCCCGAGTCAAAGCACTTTATCACAACTTCCCTGAATATTTCTTTCGGAACCGCCTGCCGCTTGCGGACTGTAAATTAATCAGGACATAAATGTGTCGCATAATCTAAGTAATACGAATATAGGTGATGATATCTTTTTAAAAAAGTAAGTCAACGAGTTAACGCTTTTATGTTACGAATAGACTAATTCGAAAATTGAAACATTAATGTCTGCTTTATTTACAATTGTACGGATGCATCAAGAGACACTGTTCATGCAGAGACACCTCGATGTACACTAAGTGTACTGTGTTTAGTGTCTCAGTTTAATTCTATTCTATTAGAGGCACTGTACTGTATTGTTAGGAAGAAAATCCGAAAATGAGCCAGTGTTATGACTCAACGTAGCCTTACTAAAATGTCGACGCTTATGTCCCGTCACTATTCATTCTGACACTGGTCTTGTAACGCAAGCACGTCATTCTCGCCAAGTGATTCTAACTTTAGCGATTTCAGGTGGCCGCTTGCTCGTTTGCCACCTTATGATATAAAAAAAAAACTAATAATGTCTAAAACTATACAGCAGAAGATGTGGTTTTATTCTTTAGATAATGTGTTAGTTTTCTTTATTTTCATAACGGGAATATGTGAAACAACAATATTTTTATATACAAGTATTTTGACAGGAGAAAACTTCAGTAAGTAAATCCAGGTATGATGACTAACATTATGGAAAAATAGAACATACTGTACACCTTTGGTAGGAACTGTAACAAGATGTAACAATCTTACATTAGTAAGAACAAATGGAGTAAAAAATGCATAGTTGTATGGATTAGCTCAGTATAAATTAGTACATAAGTGAGGCATGCGATGTAGAATTGTGGCTAAGTGCAGATATGCATCTGTGAGCACGTTATATCCCGTATTCATTAACCCGTTCACTTTAGCGTGAACTTAGCTATTTAAGTTAACATTCATGGGGAAGTGCATTAAGTTAACAAGCGGTTAAACTGATTTCCAAAGCGAGTTTACATTTTAAACTTTACCTTTACAGTTTTTAATTTTGTACATGAAGGATATGGAAGTCAATATATAAGAGATTATTTTATTGCTAAATTTGCGATATTATATTACAGATATGTATAGCCTAAATTAGGGATAATTAAGCTTAGTGAGGTGATCAGGATGTAAGGCCTAAAAGTGGTTCTCACCTTACAATATAAAAACCTAAACATTTTCAAAGAAGGTTGTGCACAACTAATTCAAAGTAAAGTGGATCGAGTATGTATAATAATTTTTATAAGACTTAAGTTACGATCCCTGAGAACCCTATAATTTTCTACATCCAAAAAAGGTTAAAGTTATAAAATAATATCTATCATGTAAGCATGTCGTTTTTCCGACACAAGACAGCCCTAATTTATCTTTCTCACACTCGAATGGTTTTTACGCAACTAAATGATTCACTCCATTAACTTCCTGCTCTAACAATGTAATGATAAGGGGAACCTAATTTGAAAATTGAAGTACTTCTAGCAATAAAATTTTGTCAAGCTTTTACAAGGTTTGCGGAAAGTGAAGACATTAGTGTGATGAATAGAACGAAATTGATGATGTTAACTATTCGTAATAGAAAAAATGATGATGAAAATGATAGCTGAATAAAATGCTATAGTTCCATTAGGATTATGGCAGTTTTTTGACATTGTAAGGCTAAAGTTTTAAGGGGCAATGTGCAATAATCTCTTTCTTCTTCTGAAAGACCATGTTTGTCAACTTCAAGCGATTGATTTGTAACTGTTAACCTAAGTTCTCGTAGTAAACCCTTACTATTAAATTGATATATTCAAAACATTATCAAATTAATCTACATATTATGCGTGGTATTTTTATGGAATTTCGAAATTATTAAAACAATATTAAACCGTGTAACTTACACTCTCGCATTAGTCAAAATATAACGCTGTTAAGATGACATGGTTAGTTAACATATTTTCCGACTGTTACAAGAGCCTTGTCGATGAATCAAATTTTTTATAGATGAAAATGTCATAGGTAAAGACAAACAAAAGCACTGAATTTAGAATAAGGAATCTTTGGATCAAGTTCAGAAAACAACGGACCGACATTAGATTTTATGCCAAAAATATTATAACACACTTTTGCAACTGTCAGAGATTAGAGTAAAAAAAATTACGAACGAAGTATCGATATAATAAAGAAAACACGCCAACATCACTAACATACTTTGACTTTTAATGACAGGACCTGACGCGGTCGTCTATCAGATAAAAAAGAACAAACGGTTCTACACTTGCTTGTGTAGTTGTTTTGCACAAGTGTGTTTGTGAAACTGTTTACGTTCATAAAGACGTAAGCATCAGCATAATATGAACATGTGTGACTGTCAACTTAACCTCACACTGCGGATAGTGGCTGTAACGAAATTATTTAGTTTTAGTTCAACGTACCAATGGCTCTTAGCCTAGTCCATTTCTCTCTAATCAAAGGTAACATCCGAAGCTATCAAGAGCGTGATCCCGCATAAAACATGTTACGTTCTATCAGAATTAAAATAATATTGATCCGCAAATGCCAGGATTTACCAAATACTATTCCATTCGAATAAACAAACCATAAATCGGGAGATTTTAAAAGCTTTTATCTTTCTGTTTGCTCTTTTGTTTGTTGCAACGCCACGCTGAATTTAGGGTTTGATATAGCTGTTGAAACACTGTCAAATAATTTTAATCGCATATTTTTCTATTCAGTAATTATAACATTAATCGTTTTTGACCTGTATTGTCAAACTAGCTGTCGCCCGCGACTAATCAACCGTCCGCGCGGAATTAAAAAAAAACCTAATGAATGTGTTCTTCCAGACAAAGTTCTACATGTATGCCAAATTTCAGCGAGATCCGTTGACCCGTTCCGGATATAACTTCAAACAAACATCAAACCATCCATACACCCATCTAAATATTCGCATTTATAATATTAACAAGAAGTAAGATTACGCGAAGAGTAACTAAAACTTCTGTTTGACAAAATATCGACCCTGGTAGATGTTAATTACGTCTCGCTTTTTTATAGTTCATCTCTTTCTTGTAACGAAATATGGCTTATCGTGATACGCAGATACTTTAAAAATTACTATAGTCTAATTACCGTTACACAATACACCTCAATGAATCAATTTTAATACAAAATATCTATCGACTATCACAAAATAAATGGGCTAAATAAATCGTTTATATAAAATTTGAAAAGAAAACACACCATAAAGTAATTAATACAAGGATAACTGTAACGTTTCTTAATCATAACTTCTAAATCTCATCAAAGTTACAACAAAACTCTTTTGGAGCGTCTAAACTAAGTACCAGGCAATAATAAGTTACAAAAGTATTAAGAGTCCCAGATTTGAGGGAGAAACGGCGATAACAGCATAAATGTCGTTTATCGTTACGACCGAACTTCTAACGAGTTGCCATAAACTGGTTATTTACTTTCTTCACCTTTGTAGGAAAGGTTGCAAGATATTTTGTACGGACATTATCTCACCTGTTCAACTAAGTTATCTGTTAAAATGTTATCAAAAGAATAACTTTCTTATATGAAATACTAGCTGTCACCCGCGACTCTGTCCGCGCGGAATTAAAAATAACCATAATTAGTAGCCTATGTGTTCTTCCAGACTATGATCTACATATATGTCAAATTTCATCAAGATCCGTTCAGCTGTTTTAGAGATACCTTCAAACAAACATCCATCCATCCAAATATTCGCATTTACACGAAGCTTCTGTAGCCTAAAATATTTGATTACATTATTGTATGTATATCCATCCATTCATCTAAACATTCGCATTTATAATATTAGTAAGTGCTAGCTTATCAAACGTAAAAAAATCTCAATACGATTGAGTAACTATTTGATAATATCGCCATCTTTTGACATATTTTAAAACTATAATGACATCATTTGCAATATTTTTTAACATAAAACCAAATATCGTTACATTATACCATATCGTTGAAACATGTATTTTTATATTAGTCCCGTATGCACTTTGTCGACAAAAATTTCCAGCATCTGCGACGTTCGACATAAGACGTTGTTTCCATTGACTTTTTAATATATTGTCTGCAGGTACGGCGAACACTCTCAAATCTCTGCAAATACACGTCCCTAGAGCCATTCTAACAGGCAGGGACGCTGAGCTAATGTGTACTTACGAGCTGGAAGGAGCACAATTGTACTCCATACGATGGTACAGAAACATGATAGAATTTTATCGATATGTGCCAAAGGAATCGCCGGCTACAAAAGTCTTTCCCGTGGCGGAGATAAAGGTCGATGTAAGTATTAATGCACCTTAACTATTGTATAATATTATTTTACTCCTCTATTCCACTAAGCAACTAGCCGTGCGACTAATATTTCTATGGTAGTTACGCCAATGGAAGTAAATCATACTTTGTTCCTAGAAACGGCATTTACACGACAAGTCTGTTCTGCGACAATTTCTGCGAAAAATATAACAAAACTTACTTTTTTATTTAAATTACGAAGGCACTCTGGAATAAACACTTTCGAAGTGTACAATTATGTAATAACCACTCGAGTGTTTCTTAACCTCAACAATTAAATTGTTACAGCGTTCCTACCCTCGAGAATTATGCCAACATAAATTGTTAAGATAGTTTGACTTACTTTTTAAATCTCATTTTAATTTCAGTTCATTTACCGACGATTTTAATAATCCAACTTAAGTATACAGGAGTTGAGAATAGCTTCGTTTTAATTACTTTTATGTTATGTTAAAATGCCACAATTGTTTTATTCTAAGATAACTTCAGGCAAATCGTACATTGAGTTATAAAAATTACACACTAAATTGAGAACAAAATCTTTGATTTAATAACGTTGGATTATCCATTCTTTATGGAACACCCTATATTACACACCACAGATGTCAGAAATTCTACAATTCTAAAACTGTATTAGTATAACTGAGATGTAATAAATATAATTTTCAAACAGGTTGCTGCTTCAGACCAGAATCGAGTGGTGCTCACAGAAGTAGACAGAACATTAACTGGAGAATACCAGTGTGAAGTATCTGCAGATGCGCCTTTGTTTCACACAGATATCAAAGCTGCAGAAATGGTAGTTGTAGGTAAGATATTGCAATCAGGGGCCTCTTTTGTCTTCCAGACTATATTCTACATCGCTGTCAAATTTCATCGAGATACGTAGAGCCATGCTGGAGATACCTTCAAAGAAACATCCATTCATCTAAACATTCGCATTTATAATCTGTTTACTTAATGCAATGAGATCATTAGACTCAGATAGTGAAGACATTTTGCCAGACTTAATGTCTAAAGAACATATACTTAGCTGACGAAATTTAGTAGATGTAAGAAGATGGTGTTAGATCTACCTCCATCTAACCTTCGTATGTTCAATTGTTGCAATATTATGGTCTTAAATTTAAATAAAAAGTTGGTAAATTTCAAAAGTAAGAACAGGCGCAGTCCCGATATTACTCTTCTTTCTATGAAACCCTTTATTAGGAGCTCTGAAATATTGCATATCAACACAGCTGGCGTTAGTCGAGATATTTTGTAGAAACAAACGACCGGCCCGAATTCAATCTGCTTCCGTGCTTTATTTTCTGCATTGCCAAAATAATTTACTATGAATTACTTAATTATTTTAAAACATCATTCATTTTAAGTATTTAATTAAGTAAATGTTGTCTATTACTTTAAATGAAATTAAGTACTTATTCTTTATTTTAAGTATAACAAGCTGTAGGAATATTAAAAAAACATAATTAGTCGCCTATGTGTTCTTCTAAACTATGTTCTGAATTTATGCCAAATTTCAGCAAGATCCATGCAGCCGTTCTGGAGATATCTTCTGACAAACATCCATCCATCCATCCAATCTTCCTCATTTATAATTTTAGTAAAATTAGTACTATAAGCAACTATCCATAGTAAAGTTCCAAATGTAAATATGTAAAATTAAAATTGAATTTTACATCCATTAAGTAACGAAAAGAGCAAAAAACGCAAAATCATCCCTCTCCAATAAAATTTCACAGCGTTAATTAATCGGAAATATCATTGAATGAATATTAAACACATATTTCTGACATAATATTGGTTTTCGAATAAACACTTCTATATGACAAAAAATAACATGGTATTTATCAGTTAATAATTTTATATTTTCATATTATTTAATAAATTTTTCAGTTAATCATATTTGATTGAAACGTTCATTTGAAAACTAGCTGTCACCCGCGACTCCGTCCACGCAGAATTACATAAAAACTTAATTAGTAGCCTATGTGTTCTTCCACACTATATTCCACATCTATGCTAACTTTCAGCGAGATCCATGCAGCTGTTCTGGAGATACCTTCACACAAACATCCATCCATCCATCCATTTAAACATTCCTTTTTGCAATATTAGTAGGATTATAATACCAATATTTCAAGTGCATCATTCGTACAGTGGGTTCAGCCCAGAACTAAACCTAGAGGTCCTGGGTACCATGTACTAATTTTAAGTAAGCAGGAAGTCATATTTAGGACGGAATATTATGAACTGACAGCATTGTTATTTTTTAGAGCCGCCGTTACTAAGTCCAAATGTGACCGCTGACCGCGTGTCATACGTCGGGGGTGACCACATACGAGTAAACTGTTCATCTCCGCCTTCTCTACCCGCTGCCAACATCACTTGGTTTGTCAATGAACAAATGGTAAACAGTTTAAAAATATTTTATTATATAGAATCCTAGTCTACACTTAGTACTATCAGAGATAACAATAAAGCACAATAAAACTAAATCTATCGTCATCAATTTTGGTTAAAGAAATGTTTGTGTTTCAATTCCAATTTTTAGTTCTCGAACAAACATTGTAATATGCTTTATTAATTCATCTAGCTTACCCGCGACTCAGTCCGCGGGGAATTAAATAACTTAATAAGTAGCCTATGTATTCTTCCAGACTATGTTCTACATTTGTGCCAAATTTCATCAAAATCCGTTAAGCCGTTCTGAAGATACCTTAACCCGTGAATTCATCTAAACATTCGCATTTATAATATTAGTAAGATTTAGCATATGGTAGCATAAGTAGGTATACTTCCAAAGAATGTAATACTTAAAAAAAAAAACTTTAAATGTTTTATGTTTTAGGTTCCGGGATTCACAGCTAACCATGTGTTCAACTTTAGCAACGGCTTTGCGTCTAGCTTAGCTACGTTAGAACTGGAGGCCACAGCGTTATCACCGGTGCCTACACTTATGATCCGGTAAGATTGGTAAATCCATACTTTCAGACATTATTAGTTAGAATCCTTTGTCGCGAATGCCCTGGTTTCGTTAAAAAATCAAGTGTCAGATTGATTAGTGAAGGGACATAAAACCTCGACATTTTAGAAAGGCTATATAAGCTCCTTCCAAAGATATAACTTCAGTTTTAATTTGCAATACCTACTATGTTTTCACTCATCATCATCATCATTATCAGCTCACTATACGTCCCCACCGAGTGGCTCGGATCCTACCTAAGTTATATTTTCACTAGCTGTAGGTATTTAGTTATTTTAATAAATCTTTGTATTTCAGATGTGAAGCATCAATATTTGATATATGGAAAGCGACTAGTCACACAATTGTTTTGAGGGAACGTAGTGCAAATCCTGCTTCTGCATTAGGAAGAAGTTTTACAGGTAACTTAATACACTATAATATAAATTTAATTTTACTCAAAATAATAAATAAGCAATGGCCACCATGAGAGCGTCGGTGGCTCAGGGATAAACAAACAAATGTTCGTGGCGGGAACACCGAGATCATCGACTCCCAACGATATCCTCAACACTAAAGGAACAGCAGATGCAGGTTTTATGAGTCAAGTCACTATATCATGTTTATGACGTAGTGACTTGATTCATAAAATGACAATGTTGCTGATGTCCATGGACGTCGTTGAACACCTCGGTGTTCCCGCTGCTCGTCTGGCTTCTTCTGTTATAAAAAATCTAAGAAAGTTCTTATCTTTTGTTTTAGGAGCGGCAACAGAAACTTGTCTACCAACAATTGTGATGTTACTTTTACAAATTCTACTGCAGTTTTTGATGCAAAATTATACAGAAACATCTATAAGATAGCTGACTTACAATATATTTACAGTTGTTTTTGAATGGTTATCGTTATAAGTGATCTATTATTGGTACCAGCACGGATTTTGAACATTCTCATTAAATTTTGCATAATTAAAATTATTGGTGAATAAGAATGACGTGAGAGTGAGTCTAATTTTATTTGTTGTTACCCAACTGACAATATGATAATGGTTGTTGGGTATATTTTTATTTTTTATTTACGCAATAAAATTTACGATGTCAATTGGTCAATGAATCAGTTGGTCGATCGGCTAAACGGGATACACGCAAATATACAACTATTTTGAATTATACAAGGAGGGAGGATTTTAACAGTGCTAGATCCCGCTTTAACATCTTCGCACGAATTGCCCCGGCTCGCCCGGTGAAATACCACGACCACACAGAAGACAGGCGTGAAGTGGAAGCAATTGCGCATTTCGTCTGAAGATTGTGCGTCCCGGAGGCCTAATTTAGTCCTCTTTCCCTTCCCACCCTTTTTCTTATAAGGAAAGGGTGCGGGAAGTGGAAGTGGACTTTCCGGATGAGAGAATGCATGGAAAAGGAAGATATTTTCTCTCTGTGCATCCTCTCCTCCGTCGATTAAAGGTAGGCAACACAAGGACCTGATTGAACTTGTTTACTCCTAACTAATGATAGAACTGAATATTTAAAATCCATGCTGGTACCTCTTAGTGTATATGTGTAGTATATTCAGGGTTTTAAACTATTTGTAATAAATATATAATGATTTTACAGCATTTTGTTTTTGTTGTCGACGTTCTTTTGTTATCTCATCCGTTTCAACAAACAATGTTAATATGTCAAGAACACTTACTAATGGACATACTAAAAGCGATTATAATATGATTTTTTTTCGTAAAAATTATGAAATAAATGTTTTGGCCTAATCTACATTTGGAAAGTAAGACAATTTTTCTATCATTTAACAATAATTAAAATTGCAAGTGACATTTTAATGGCCTTAATAAAAAAAATTGACGAAAAAAAAAACGGATTTTAAAGTTATTATTATTTAAACATGCAACAGAAATCGAAACGTTAAATTAATTTTAATCAAAATTAATTAAACATAAGAATGTTAGTGCTAAAATAGTCATAAGAAATAATCCGTAGCTCCTAAACTATGCTGAGGTGTCCGTGTCGTAACACATGTATCAATAATATTGCCAACTCTCTCATTCTCTTTAAAAAGGAAAGAGATAGCAATAATGTTCTTACGTGTTAGATTTGAAAACGGTAACGGAGAAGTATATTGGATTGATGATTTTTCCCTTACAAAAAATGCCATAATGTTAAATAGACTGAATATTTAGAACAATCCTTTAATGTGTATGTATATGTAAAAATATTAACTTGTAAATATTATTGAAATAAAATATTTAATTTATAAAAAAACAATACCGTAATAGCACAGAATTAAACTACAATGATAATCGTTAAAACTATTGCTGTCCCTTTTACTCTGTTTGCCAAAACAGAGACAAAAAGCATCTATACAAGTCTTTGTAGTAATTCTACTTTTTAAAATGAAATTTTATAGATTATTTGATGATTTTGTTGTCTATAGTAAGATTCTTTGTCTATCACTTCATTGTTTGCTATTTCATTCCGATACCAAATTTCTCTGTATAAAATATATTGTCATCCTTGTCTTTTATCTTTGACAAAACAGAGACAACAATACCTTTTAAACGGAGATTTTTGTATTCAGAAAACAACGGTGAATCTATAATCTTGTATTCTTATATTTATTTAGTTATAAATTCTTTAATTATGTCAACAAATAATTCGTAAAAGTTAAAAAATAATATTTTCTTTTGTTTCTTTTTTGTCTAAGTGTTGAATGGGGCTGTGTTAAGTGATATACTAAAATCGTACATTAATTTTATTTATGTGCTAGATAATGTGATTGTACATTAATTTATACATAGGCAATAATGAATCATACTAGACGCTTGAATACATAAGTTAGATAAAGGCTTATCTATATTAATTTATTTTGTGTTTATAACTCAATGGATGTACGATGCGTTTCAAATAAGATTGTGTGTAAACTAACTCGACGTAATAACATTAAAAGAGAGGTAACTGAAAATTCTTGTCTCTTTCTAGTTTAAAAACAACTATAATTTATGAAAATACTTTGTTTGGGGTTAAATAAAAATAAGTAATTTTTGACGGATACGCACATTCATATTTGTAACGAACTATATATGAATGCTACCGCAGTATGTTAATTGACATGAACTTTGTCGAAATCTTGATGTGTTTATTCTTACAGTTATAGATTTATAAAACTTTTTACTGTAATTAAAGATAGTGTCAACAATCTAATAATACATTTGTAGAATACACGTTCAATAAATTTACCTAACTGTTAAATGGATTGCAAACGAATTGATTATAAGAATTGTATTATAAAGAAATGATTAATAAAATACAGACTTATAACTATAGTTTTATTTAAGGTTCGTGTCCATTCGTCCGCGCCTGACGCACCGAACGCACGGATTGAACTGATTTGCTTTGTCTTGATGCGATGCTGGCGGTGCGATGGACGCAGTGCTATGTAAAGGCATACAAATCAAAGTATCCATTGCACGTGCGTAGTAAGTGCGTTGCGTCCGATGCGGGTCAACGGGCGTACCCTTTACCACCGTCTGTTATATTTTTAATTAATTTATTACTGTGCGATTTGATTGCAAAGATACGTATAAATTTAAATAGCATCCCTGTCATTCTCTACGAAAAAAAAAGAGATAATAATATGTTTCAAAACAATGATCAATGAAATAGCTAGAACGGTTTTGTGAGTAATTTCTTCACTATATTCTTATTTGTTTTTATTTCACGCACACAGTCACGGGCAACAACTAGTTATGTATATTATATGTAAGAGTTTTAAATAAGATTTCGTCAAAATTCATAAAATGATTTTTAAAAAGTTTGTTTCCACAGATTTTAAGTACTCACTACCTCTTATTTTCTGAAAATATTTTCATATTAATCAGTAGTTAATATAAATATATCAGAAAAAATATTTTAAAATATTTCTTTTAATCATTCATGTTCGTGTTAATTTACAAATGGAAAGTAAAAAATGTTTAAAAGTATAATGTTCATTTTCCACGGAAATTCCAATCTCGCTTACAAAGTAATTTCATATTAAATTTTTGTATGTAATAAAAACGTTGTTTTCCAAAAGGTTTACACGGAGATATCTGTAAAGCAGTGCATCCAAAATTTATAGTTGTTTGGCCAGTAGTTTCTGCGTCAAGAGAGCTTCGTAGTACTGCTACAAATTTAGCTGATTTATGACCTAGATTGCTTAGTTTGAGATTGGATATTAAGCTCACGCTCGCTACGAATTACGAAAATAATATAATATATATTAAATAATTTTGAACAAAACAATTATGGCACCGAATTTCTTAATTCTCGCTCTAACAAAAGCCTTTTATTATCGAGTGGCCTAGGCTACACAGATTTTTTACACTTATGTATATCAAATCGAGTGAAGCTGGGTATAGTTGCTAGTCTTATAAGTTTAAACAGACCAATAAATTAACATGTTCACTTTCACAAACCACTGAGCTCAACGCGACGACTAATGGTATTGGATTTATCGAAGCGAACTTAATAAGATAGGTTACGAATATTCTGCAGGATAAATTATACATAAAAATTTACCAACTGAAATATTATGTACTTAATAAAGTTTTGATATCACTTTCATAAAATAAAGTATAATACAACGTCGCAGTCGTAACCCTACGTCCGACCGGCTAAATGGATTCCAAGATACCATGTTTTTGGAAGTTCTACCATTGTGTAGTGAATAGAGTAAGAAATTTAACAATAATTCTATTAATAGGTGTAGTGTATGCATAAACGTAGTGTTGTTTGTCTCGAGCGTACACGCCATAAGTAGATGCCGGAGAGAGGGGACGTCAGTCGATGTCAGACCTTTGAGCCGGCAACACGTGTCGGTACGTGAACGAGCCAAATATAGCGCAACGAATGCTACAATAGGTAAAACCATAACTTCGTTATTATGTATTTTATTATATTGTACTTGTATATTATGCGTAGAGTAATTAATCACATAAATAAGTAATGAGATTGAATATACAACTACAAAGGTAGACAGAAGAAAGTATAGATGGATTGTGTGTGTGGTGGATCGGCTGATAGAGATATATGGGAAAGTACATACTATGCCAAGTTTACGTAGGGTCAAGTACAGGTTAATAATAAAACAATTACTTTGTATTCTTTTCAAATATCTTGGCTGCCCAAAGTGATCGACACGCTGCGTTATGGTTATATAAAATTAAGATGTATATGAGTTGCTCATTTCATTATTAAATACTAAATTTCTAGTTATCTGTTATTGAAATAGTTTACATAACGAGACGGCATAGACAATGCTAAATATAATATCTGCCGATGTTACGCTTGCCGGCCTAGACTGGGCAATTATCTCTAAAACTTAGTTTCAAAGTCTTAATCGACAAGGGTTAACTTGCCTACTACAAAGTTTTCACATTTGCAGAAATAATTAAACGTCCTTGCTTTTACCAGGTAAATGAGGCTCATTTGAATGCAAACCGACTTGACTTTAACAAAAGTTTTATGTTAAAATATTTCTAACTAATTTTCTAATTCGGTATTTTAAATAATTGTGAAGAATTGGAACGATTTTTATTTAAAATGTTTTGAAATGTAATTTTATTCTTCTAATAAAATAAAATAAATGTAATTTTTATAACTACGCCTCGGAATAGATAGAATATTTGAAGAACTGAGTATTAACCTTTCCTAATCAAAGACGCATCTCAAGAAAAATAACTAATTAAATTAACGTATTACTAAATAAATGCGATGTTTAGATGGATCGATGGATGGTTCTTTGTAAGTATCTCCAGATCTGCTGAACGGATCTCGATAAAAATTGGCATACATATAGAACATAGTCCGAAAGAACTTATAGGCAACTAATTATGTTTTTTTTTTAATTCCGCGCGGACGGATTCGCAGAGGACAGTTATTAACACCTATATTTTCTTCAATTTACTTTTTATTTCATATATCTTATCGTACACCAACCATGACTTTCCAATGTCGAATACTCTGTACAAAACAAATCATATTCTTTGTTTAATCGAGGAGAAACTCAGTGAAAACTCGCGGGTTGAAGTAAAACATTTCGTCAAGAAATGAAATAAATACAAAAGTTTTTTTTTTCATTTTCATACTTATCCAGTTTCTGTGAATTTTAACCCAAAATAATATTATTCCAGTGAGGAAGTAGAAAGTACGGGCCGCGCCGCCTTCAAGAAAATATGCATAATATATTAGGCGCACTAAATCAGCTTTATTACAAAAAGTTGTGTCTGAAAACATACTTGGATTTTTTTAAGAAAACAAACTCTTCAATCCTACTGTATTCTTGAAAACCTAGATTCCATT